ATACTATCGTACTAACAATACTATCGTACTAACAATACTATCGTACTAACAATACTATCGTACTAACAATACTATCGTACTAACAATACTATCGTACTAACAATACTATCGTACTAACAATACTATCGTACTAACAATACTATCGTACTAACAATACTATCGTACTAACAATACTATCGTACTAACAATACTATCGTACTAACAATACTATCGTACTAACAATACTATCGTACTAACAATACTATCGTACTAACAATACTATCGTACTAACAATACTATCGTACTAGCAATACTATCGTACTAGCAATACTATCATACTAACAATACTATCGTACTAACAATACTATCGTACTAGCAATACTATCGTACTAACAATACTATCGCACTAGTGTAATAACAATACTAGTGTACTAACTGTACAAGCGAGTTAACAATAGCTAACTCTATTAGCGTACTAATTGTTTTTAAGATAAATAAGATAATAATAAGATAAATACTACGAAAAAGTAGGTGAAACAACACTAAGCTCTGTTTGTGTATAGGGGAAGGGTTAGAACTATATTGATTCAGTTAATTATTTACTTACTGCACTTGATATGTCCTGGTATCTTGTATGTTAATAACAAGGGATGTCGTTTCTATCTTGTAGTAGAAGAACATTGAGGCACCAGTTTGTGGTATACAATGGATGACCTGAACCCATTTGCCAGCTGCACCACTAAGAGGCTTGATCCAAAATGTAATAGTAAAACCATCTAGATTGAAATCGACTCCATTAATKGAACCACTTCCCCCTCCATATGGAAAAAACAAAGCTCTGTCTCCATCTACGTCTTTGTACTGCGGTACTTCGCTAGGCGTTCCTAGCAACCTGGAATGCAGAAAAGCATTGTMATTAATTTAATTTATTAGCTTTGCCCCTAGTATGGGCAGGGAYAMCGCAACAGCGTGAGCCAATTACTGCGGACCCTGTACTCTCAYACTCACTACCTCTACATTAAGTATTTTTAGCACACAACACTCCTCAMATGTTGATTTGCTGAGGGAGGAAAACCKGARGACCAGTAGAAAAACCCTCGTGGCAAGGGAGAGAACAACACATCATGGCCACCCATGCCACCCATGCCACCCATGCCTCTCATGCCACCCATGCCATTGCATACATGTTGATATCTAAAAAGCCAACACATCGTCATTTCCCTCTATATTTGCTTGTATGTATAGTATTGAAGTGAGAAATACTCTGCTTTCTTGTTTTGAAAATTATTGTTTATAGTCCAGAACTGGATCCTCTTTTATCCTCTTATCCTCTTATCCTCTTTTATCCTTGCGCGCACGGAGTTGACTGAGTTGAAAACTAATCTAAGCGGCTGCGATCAAGACATTTCTTGCAATAATTTTGTGAAGAATTCCTACCGATTTATCATATCAGATAATGCAGAGAGCTCAGTCTAAACGCAAGAACAAATGCATATTATACAAATATAACTGACACGAAAAATTGATGAGCTTCATCGTCCCATCGGTACTAAAAAGTTGATGTAAGCCTTAGCGTAACTTATGAACACAAAATCACATATATGTTTTTCAAGTAAGTCAAGTACTTCAATTTCTTTATCTGAAAATTATATTAGATTAATTGAGAAAGATAAAATGTAAAATTTCCGTAAAATTTCGGATGACTTTGCATTCGTTTATCATATGCTAGCGCTAAACGAGTGTCTCAACGGGGTGGTACGCATCACGACTCACGGCTAAAAAATTGGCTGTTTCACGACTCACGAATAGTTTTTTCGAATCACGATTAACTAGATTACTTTCAGAAATTTTTGAAATGAAAACAACGTTTTTCATTACTTTTTCATGTAATTTTTTTTGTGCTAGAGATAGTGAGTGTCGGAGCACAGTGTTCCTTGTACGTTATAGACACTCGGTCATTATAATTTTTTATCATCACTCCCAAAAATRTCAAATTTTGTCCATGCGTTGACTTGTCTGCGGGACCTTGTTGGTAGGCGCGATAAGAATTTTGAGGGAGGGGGGTGGAAGATTTTGGGAACAAAAACTCCTGAACGGCCCGAAGAGAAAMTTCTCCACTAAAGCTTTTATTTTTTAAATTTACTAAAAATATTGAGTTGACTGTCCTTCTGAGGAACAATACTGAATCACGGCTTAAGCTACTAAAAAAATATTCACGCCTCACGGCTAATTTTTTCTCATTTTCACGACTCACGGGTATCTACACTGCTTAGTTTATTCTCAGTTGTCTCTTGAAGAAATGCTACATCTATAGCTGTTGGGTGTGCAAACGCGTTTATGAAATTGATCGGAATCTTTCAGCGTTTTTTTTTTTTATTTTTGTTTGTTCCTTGTTTTCAGTTTGTATTTTTCTCGACGGCGATTTATCTCATTGTCTTTATGATATGAAGTTAGCTTTTAATTTTTATTTGAAAATATGATATATCGAACAGATTTAAATTCATTGCTTGGGCTCCCTGTGACTGAGAACTGTTTTTTCGATCGATCGTGATTGGATGATGTAGCGCATGCGCTGACAAATTTCACTGGATCCACTGTTTACACGTGCCCTGCTATGCAGAGGACATGAAGTAAAATGCTGCTATTTTCTTGGTTTGTAATCGTCAGTTTTTTTTTTCACAATGTCGAAAGTTTGGCTTCGGTAAATCTTCGTAACCAATCACATTTTGAAATATATATATCCGGTAGCCAATCACATTACGTTGTATATTCCGAAAGCTATAGACTACCCATAATCCCTTTCGATCACATTTTCAAGTCGTACTGCACACTTCTGTTTCATTCGCCATTTTGATGAGTATTGTTTGTAGTATTGTCGCGCAAAGCAACGTCAACGGCCGTGGAAAGCGAGCAGAAAGTCAGTAAATGATCGCAAATGTTTCTAGAAATGTAGATAGAAATGCTTATAAATTTTATGGTTGTACAATCATCTGCAATGGATATGTTGTAGTGAGTATTTAAAAATATTGTGTTACAATCATAAGTTAATAAAACGTCACGTTCCAACCAATTATGCCCCCTAGTTATAATATGTGACCCTACAATTATACTGCACAATCGCAAAGGCGGACACAGCTGAAATTTTATCGCTAAAATAACACTGGCAAGTCTCGAAGGATTAAATCATTTTATATTTTATATCATTTTAAAAGGTTTTATTAAATTCAATAGGCCTCGTAATTTACTAATGATTTTAACAACATCATGTGGTACAGAGGGCACGTGTAAACCCTGCATACAGGGTCTATTCTCAATTTTCTTGAGCGCGCGCGTTAGATTTTTAAGTTTTACGACTTTTACATATAACAAAATAGTAAATGAGAAAAGAGGGACCAGTTCTGGGCTATTTTGTTTGCTAAAAGTAAGCCTCAAAATGCTCGAAAGTAAATTGACTTCGCGGATGTGCAAACTCGTAGTAGCCATGGTTTGCGGAATTCTGTCTATGCTTTAATTTTACTCTCCTGTCCATGTTTTTTTTGTCATGTGACTGATTTTTCTAATATTTTCAATTTTGAAGATAAAAGTTTGAAGGAAAAATATCGATGTTCCAATTAATTAATTTTTTTCGATATTTTCGCGCAGTGTTTTGGTTTCTTGCGGTGGTACATGCAACAAAGAAAGAAAAGAAGATAGGAAATGGGGAAACCTGCGTTCGTGCGGTAACCCCGTGTCGTTCCATGAAAAATATTTTTAACCCTTTTACCGTCGAAAAATTGTGGTTAAATTTGACTGTTTTTAAGGCAGAATGATTTAAAAATGATTTCGGGACTAATCTTAAGGTTGTCAAGGAAACGGCTGCTGTTCGTGATAACTGAAGGCTTCCTTTTGCAAGGGATGCCTGTAAGATTTTTGCTCGTGGCTTTGACTAGCAATCAGCTCGTTCAAAACACAGGAAAAATCGGTTTTTAGGTGTTTTTGAAGTCAAGTTCTCGCACAAGAGCCCCTAGACTTGCATCATAAAGCTTGACTATTGTGGCAGAAGCGATCTTCTGGAAGAAATCAGAAGTGGGAAGCGATTTTAGGAAGAAAATGGCGAGCAACCGTTGATTTGTGTAAAATAGCGCCATTTGAGTGAAGTCGTCTCCCTGGCTGTCTTGTGCTTGACTTCGCAACCTACCGTGTATATTTTTGCATGTTTTGGCTTCTAAAAAGAGGAATCTACTTGAAATTTACCTGGTAGGAGCGAATGACTCGACACTTAAAGAAAATTTTAAAATGGAAGGTGTRGGGTACTTTCTGTCCAAAAAATTCAGCGTTACCCAGAATTCTTTGCAAGCGAAGTTCAAGGAAACACTTGTCTCGTGGAATGGACCCTTAAGAAAGAGCTCTTTCTCGGCTTGTTCAATGAAACTGGTTACAAAAGACACATCAATGCAAAGTAGAAGGGCTGAACTTTCTTTCAAATGTTGTATTTTGGCATGATTGAGGGATTTTTTGCAGTAAAATTGAAAATATATTTAGCCTTTTTCTAGTGTTCTTGTCTACGTCGAAAAGCGTGCAGCCAGATTTCGCCCTCAATTAAGGGACCACATTCACCACAAAGAAACCCTATGGTGCTTACTTTATGAATTAGCAGCTGTATAATTTCACGGACAACCCAACCAAAACATAATTAGTTCATTTGCTATGCAATTAATAGAATAATATTTTTTTAAAGAGAGGCATACGTCGACGTCGACAAATGTCGACAATGGCGGTGAAAGGGTTAATGGTTACAATAAACTCTTATCTTTGGTGGCGGGCCGTAGCTCCTCAATGAAAAATAAGTAAACTTACTGTACAGCAGCTGTCGATTGATTCAGCATCCATAATTGGTAAGTTGCACCAATATCTGTATGATCTRAAAAGAGAACAATACATACATTATTTATCAAGGTAATTCTGAAAATCTGAAAAYTCCTGTAGGCTACGTTAACACTTGTAATATAAAAGCTTTTATCTTTTCATTGAATTCAAGAAACAGTGGAACGAGATGATATGCTTGTGTTTCCCGCAGCTCGATCACCGAGCAAATGGTGACTATATGCTAATTTTGCGTCATAATGACGTCAAAACACGTCACAATGACGTATTTCCTGACGAAAGAGGAAAAATAAGTATACAGTCTCAATTAAAAAACACAGCAAATTTGATTTCATGTCCTAATGCTACCAGTACATATGTGATGCATTTTATCCCGTGGGTGTTTAAATCGCTTCATTTTTACACAGTATGTAAAATCATGAATTCATGGTTGTACTTTCACCTCTGGGAATATGTAATCCAAAAGTTTTTCTATTTTTTAACAAAAGAAGAAAACAAAAGACAAAAAATGTCATTTTTTTAAGAAAAATCCCGTATATTTACTATACCTTTTCTGAAGAAGGATAATTTTTGTTGCTCTACATAGACCCCTGTTACAAAGTCGTTTTCGTGTGCGCTGGTAATGGAGAGAAGATCACCACCTAACGACTGACAATGTTTACGAGCATCGGTCCAGTTCTTCTTCTCTGTAAATAGCTTGATAGCAGCGTCACCATAGCGACGCCATCCATTGCCAAGATCTACAATATTTTAAAAGATCTTTGTTGGTTGTATTTTTCATATTTATACGCAGTTTGTTTAATCAACCATGAATAATTTTAAACTTATTTCCAAGCTTTCGACCTAAGCGGTCATCTTCAGGGAACACAAAGACGTTACAAAACCAAAAACAAAAACGCATTCAAACTGAAATGAAACTACTTTTGAGCGCGCAATAAAGACAATGCGCGCGCTGTTACAAATGAAATCAAGAAAGATGAGAATAATAATTAATTATTGAGCAAGCACAAATAGTTTCCAGGCAGTGTTCGACCTTTGTCCCTATTTAACAATATTGTTTCTGTTGCTACTACTGAAGTAGCGGCCCAGTCGATCGAGTGGCCAGTGTTGTTGGCATGCTCAGCAAGCGCAGACTTCTTCACATTGATAATGGTGGGAACTAGCGGTAAACTAGTGTGAGCTGCGTCGGTGTTTCTAAAGAAACAGTTATGTAAAAAGATAAATTTAACACCGTAAAAATGTATGTGGAAAAACTTACTGACGTTTCGGATGTTAATCCTTCGTCGGAGTAAAGATCTTTACTCCGACGAAGGATTAACATCCGAAACGTCAGTAAGTTTTTCCACATACTTTTTTACGGTGTTAAATTTATCTTTTTACATAACTGTTTCTTTAGAAACACCGACGCAGCTCACACTAGTTTACCGCTAGTTCCCACCATTATCAATGTGAAGAAGTCTGCGCTTGCTGAGCATGCCAACAACACTGGCCACTCGATCGACTGGGCCGCTACTTCAGTAGTAGCAACAGAAACAATATTGTTAAATAGGGACAAAGGTCGAACACTGCNCGAGTGCAAAATATTATTTTGAATGGATAGTTTCTAGAGTTTGGGGTACTGCCTGTCGAAAAATGCACCGTTACCCGTTACCCACAATTCTTTGGGAGTGAAGTTGGAAGAAGCACTTGACTCATTGAGTGTACCCTAAAGAAAGAGTTGTTTCTCGACTTGCTCAATATGCAAAGTAAGTACAAATTGAACAATCACCGCAAAATAGAATTGAATTTGGTATGAATGGGGGATTTAAAATAATTTTTTTTTCGTTGTTCTCGTTTTACGTGTAAAATTTTGTAACTCCGATTTCGCCCTCAATGAATTAAAGTGACTATATTCTCTGAAACTAATAAAGCMTAGGATGCTGATCTTAGGAGTTTAGCAGCCGTAAAATTTAGTACACAACACAATCAAACCATTGTTACCACCATGGATATTAAATTTACGAAATGCTATTTTTTAAAAGAGTGACCTTAAATCCTTAATTGTTGACGATTGTCTATCCTGTCTGAACTGGTTTCCATACCTTCTTTTCGCTTGCATTCATATAATTGGCAAGTCCGGGTACCAGTAACATTCTACAAAGACAGCCAACAAATAAATGTCATAAATTGTCATTTCAGAAACGATTACAGGAATGAGGACAGGTTTTTCATGCTCTAAAATGTCTGTTACGAAGCTGCRATTGCACTAAGGTTGATGTTTAAAATTAACAAGCTTTTGGATTTCAGTTAGTCGAWACCAATCAAAACATAAATCGGGACAAAGAAAGACTAATCAGACGAATGAAATCACTATTTTTCGAATAAATTATCMGCACTCCACAAATTATATGTGGATTTTATTTGATTGATGATAATTTTTGCTGTTAATAGCGTTATTGACCCTTCGTAAAACCGGCTCTTAATTGCAAATGTTTGTCAATACGTACCGCCATTTCATAGTAAGACCATCCTCCTCTCTTCACCATCTTTTGTGGATTTGCTATTTTACTTGAGTTGTTCAACTCACATACRAACATTCCTTCCATTGTTTGACGCACATTTATAGAGAAGCACCATGGAAGCCAAACGCAGTCACCCCAGCATAGATTGAGAATTGGGTGGTTTACAGTCTTGATCACGTGACCATCAAGAGCCTGCGAGHCATTGCTCTCCACGAAGCGGTACACCTCACAGCAGTAGATGGATTGTAAATGAATGAACAAAAAAGCGTTGAGTAAGATAAGAGCAAGACCCATAGCAAATGAAAGCAGTCGGGAATGATCTACAATAAAAGGCAATGAAAATCGCTTATCTAATATTTATAGTCTACATTTACGGCGACGGAAATTCATTTCACCAAGTACCGGCTGACCTATATATTTCCGTCACACGATTACGTCAAAATATACCGTAAACGCTTAGCTAAAGATTTCGCGTTTACGCTACGTATTCATGTCGATCATGCATGCTGATATGTGTAGGAATTTTCGAGGTATTTCTAGGACAGATATTATATCAGCGACGACATAAGAAATTATTTGAGTGAAAGTAAAATATATTTAATATGCACCTCTTGCAAAAAAATTGTCATAGAAAATAGAACATTTGAATCTAGTAAAAATGTATAATTTAAAACAAGACAAAAAAGAGCGTATTATATTATATTTATATGTAATAC